CTATGCTAAGTGGGCAAAGCGCACTATGCCCACTTAGCATAGTTTTTAACTTGACCCTTCAATTGTAAGTTGGGTTTTGAACTTCAGAGTTCGCGTGTTATTGAAAGGCGCTGTAAAAACTATTGTTTAGCGATTTTCTCGTTGCCGTTGCCGTCGTAGTTGTCATAAGGTCCCTAAAGAGAGAATATCCCTGGGAATCAAAGTGAAAATATCCTTGGGAATCAAAGTGAGAATATCCCTGGGAATCAAAGTGAGAATATCCCTGGGAATCAAAGTGAGAATATCCCTGGGAATCAAAGTGAGAATATCCTTGGGAATCAAAGTGAGAATATCCCTGGGAATCAAAGTGAAAATATCCCTTGGAATCAAAGTGAGAATATCCTTGGGAATCAAAGTGAGAATATCCCTGGGAATCAAAGTGAAAATATCCCTGGGAATCAAAGTGAAAATATCCTTGGGAATCAAAGTGAGAATATCCTTGGGAATCAAAGTGAGGATATCCCCGGGAATCAAAGTGAAAATATCCCCGGGAATCAAAGTGAGAATATCCTTGGGAATCAAAGTGAGAATATCCTTGGGAATCAAAGTGAGAATATCCCTGGGAATCAAAGTGAAAATATCCCTGGGAATCAAAGTGAGAATATCCTTGGGAATCAAAGTGAGAATATCCCTGGGAATCAAAGTGAGAATATCCCTGGGAATCAAAGTGAAAATATCCCTGGGAATCAAAGTGAGAATATCCCTGGGAATCAAAGTGAGAATATCGTTGGGAATCAAAGTGAGAATATCTCCGGGAATCAAAGTGAAAATATCCCCGGGAATCAAAGTGAGAATATCCCTGGGAATCAAAGTGAAAATATCCCTGGGAATCAAAGTGAGAATATCCCTGGGAATCAAAGTGAGAAAATCCTTGGGAATCAAAGTGAGAATATCCCTGGGAATCATAGTGGCAAACCTTGATCCTCGATCACTGTTTAGATCTATTTGTCCTGGTAATACATCAAGATCATCAGCCTGAGGGGAAAAAAAAATAAAGTTGACCAATCACCTCCATCCTACAGACACCTTGTATATTTCTACCGCCGAGTTCTCCTGGTTCGATCCGTTAGTCGTCCATTTTCAGTCTTTTGGTAGATACAAGGCCGACCTGGGTCAGCTTTGTGGTAAAGAAAATGTCACTACAACTTGTCAACCAGAGTTCATGTAAACATTAAATTTTGCCACTCGTTAGTGGTATGCCGACTCGGGCTAGAACCCAACTGGGTTCATGTAAAGAGGCTTTTAACAGCACCACACAAAATACAGTCAAAACTCTCGTAAGCAGACACCCTCACGAAGCAGAAAAAGTGTCCACAAATGGAGCTGGCTGCTTATGGGAATGTTTAAATACAGAGTTTGTATGAGCTAGAGTTCAAACAGGGTTTTGTCAAGGCGGCCGTAAGTAGAGCTGTCCGCTTACGAGGGTGTCTGCTCAGAGAGCTTTGACTGTACTGTTAATTATTAACAATTACCTTAAGTGTTTCTCTCTTCTTAATTTTTCTTTTTTCTTTGGTTTCTTAAATTTCACCTGTCCAAGAAAAAAGTCAGCAATGTTAGACAACAATAGAATTTACTATTAACGTACTAGATAAATGTCATTACGCAATTCTTACCATTTCTTCCTGAGTATAATATTCAACAGCCAACTGGGGCTTTGCCATTTCTAGTGAAACCTGAAAAACAAGTTGAAAACAAGATAAATACAAGAAATTTGTTAATCAGTCAGTAACACAGGGGTCTCACAAGACTCTGGGTTTCTGGCTCCGGGTCCCTGATTCCAGAGACCCTGGGTCCCTGGTCACAGAGACCCAAAGACCCTGGGTCTCTAGGTCCAGGGACTCAGGTTCTTTGGGCCCCTAGAGCCAGAGACCTTGGGTGTCTGGGTCGAGGGACCTAGGGATCCTGGGTACCAGAGACCCAGAGATCCTGAGACCTTGATGCCCTGGGACCCTATGCAATTCTGGAGTAGTATTAATTAATCTATTGTCTATTGCGTTGTTTGTGACGTAACTCAGGACTTGGTATATGGAGCATGACCCAGGCAAACTGTAATGCAAGAACATAAAAAAAATATTCAAGTATTTTACACATACCATCTGGGCTTTTAGCTTGGCTTGTATCTGTTTAAAAGAAAATAAATTTAAAAAAATAATTATTTCTGCTTAGTAACTTTTTAACAAAAAAATCTGAAACAAAAGGAAAATAATTCCAGTCATGTACCCTTTTCACTTCGTCTTCTTTTGATGTGTCATATTTTCCTCCAGAACCTGACAACAAATTAAATCAGAAAAAATATTGGACATTTTATTGAATGAAATGTGGCAAACCAATAAAAGTAAGGGTAAAGACTTTATGAGCCTAGTGGCCCGCTCTGCTGGAGCTTATCCCAGTTTCCATAGCATGAAGCGACTATGAGTATTACTACTCCCCTGGATGGGATGCTAGTCCAGCACAGGTTACCCCCATCTTGTCGCCAGTACTCATTTATACTCCTGGGTGGAGAGAGGCACCATAGGAGTAAAGTGTCTTGCCCAAGAACACAACACAATGACCCAGGCCAGGGCTCGAACCCAGACCACACAAGTCCAACGCGCTAACCATTAGGCCAGCCACCATGTTTCCCAGAAATTTTTCAGGTTGTCTGAACAACTCTGAGCTGGTACCCATTTATACTCCTGGGTGGAGAGAGGCACTGTGAGAGTAAAATGCCTTACCCAAGAACACAACACAATGACCCGAGCCAGGGCTTGAACCCGGACCACTCGATCCAACATGCGAACCATTAAGGCCACTACTCCTCCCTAGTCAACACTTAGTTACATGCAATAATTGCATGTAACAAACACACACACACACACACACACACACACACACACACACACACACACACACACACACACACACACACACACACACACACACACACACACACACACACACACACACACACACACACACACACACACACACACACACACACACACACACACACACACACACACACACACACACACACACACACACACACACACACACACACACACACACACACACACACACACACACACACACACACACACACACACACACACACACACACACACACACACACACACACACACACCACACACACACACACACACACACACACACACACACACACACACACACACACACACACACACACACACACACACACACACACACACACACACACACACACACACACACACACACACACACACACACACACACACACACACAACACACACACACACACACACACACACACACACAACTGATACAATTGAAAATGTTTCTTCCCTGCTTCGGAATCATGTTATAAAATAAAACTATTTCTCGAACTCAGAGCGCTTGAACTCAGAGCGCTTGACACAACTGATGTTACTATTTTCCTTACCAAGAACAAAGGATTTCTTTTGCTCTCCTTCGATTTCTTCATCATACTTTTGTAAGAGTACTTTTGGTTTGACCTGTAATATTATAATAAAAATTAATGATATTGACAAAAAGTTCAATACATTTGGAAATTTTCTAAAGGTTTTTAGAAGATTTTAGGAAGACCAAGGGATTTCGAGTGCAATTTGGAAATAGACCCTTGTAAATTTTGTTACCCTTTGAAAACATTATACTGTGCCCATTTATTCCAAATTACACTCAAAATCATGTGATTACCTTGAATACAAATTTCACACAAAAATCTGATAATAATATTATAACATGAATCATAAAGCAATAATTAGAAAAATGTCAGTTTTTCAAGTGAAATTTAACGTGGAAAACATATGAATTTTCCTTCAGTCGCATAGCTATTTAAAAAATAAGTAATAAGTAATCCTTATTTTAAATTTTGGCCGATATGAGGGGCACTTATTCAAAGGGGGCGCTTTTTCAAGGGGGGGGGGGGGTATTCGAGGATTTACGGTATGTGTTTCTATAAGAAATATGCACAGGGAACAGTAGGAAGCAAAGTGTTAAAGCTGAGATGATACTTACCATTCCATATTCATCCAGTTCAGGCTCATCGTATGGTCTGTAATCAGGTTTTCTTTTTCTATGCTCAATGTTTTTACTTCCCTGAGAAAGAATAGCAAACTTTAACTTAAGGTAACTGGTAAAGACCATCCTAGTGATCCTTAGTTCATGAGAGGTCATCCTCCACAGGGCAGATCCAGGAATTTTTGATAGGGGGGGGGGGGGGTCCCATGGTTTCCCGAAAATGTGAAGTAGAATTTTTGGAAATATACAATGCCGAGTTATTACTTAAAGGCGTGGAGGGGGTGTTTAGAGGTCTCCCCAGAAAAGTTTGAGATTTCAGACTCTGAAAAATGCATTTTGGTGGATCCTGGAGATGGATAATGGAGAAAGCAAAAAAAACCCTCAGGTCTGATAGGGGGGTCCGGACCCCCCCCGACCCTCCCCCTGGATCCGCCACTGCTCCAGCATTTTGTCAGGTTTCCCTAACAAATGACGCATACCCATTTTCACTTAGTTCTACTTATCAATAATAGATGAAACTGCAGCATAACAATATTGTCATTTGTTGTTCCACTCAATTGTGGCAAGATGGAAAGAAGCATCTGAATTGAAATGATCAAATTATCTTTGAAATAGAACTGCTCACCTTTTCTTTATCCACAATATTTACATTCACTAAAGTTTGCTCATCCTCATCTAGGACAGCTAAAACAGACACAAGTACATCAATATAAATACTACTGACATATTAACAACAAGAGCTTACTAGGTATTGTAATTAACAATAATTAGACAACAAGCTTGAATTTTTGATCACTTGAAAGGAATTTTGCATTTTCAAAATTTGACAGGCTTATTTTTTTTTTTCGAGGAATTTTTAGGGTTTATAAATAAACAAATAAACTCTTATGAGAGAGATATTATTCTGTCAGTGACACAAGCTACTCGGAAAAAATTCCGAGTTCCCCCAACAGGAGTTGTACCTATGACCTTCCGCACACCGGTCGGACGCTCTACCACTGAGCTACAGGAGACTCGTGGGAGCTAAGGCCATATAACTAGGTTCAAGTTTAAACACAACAATATGAAACTACAGTTTTCAAGTCTTAGTCTTAGTTTTTACTGCTCATCAAGACATCATAGGTCCGCAATGCATGTAAAAACACCAGATTACATTATCTAGCATCATAGGTCACCAATGGGTGTGAAGACACTACATTATCAAGAATTATAGGTCCACAATCCATACAGACACTAGATTAATAATAATAATAATATTTGTATTTATAACGCGCTAATTCCATGTAAATATGATCAAAAGCGCATTACAATTATTGTAAAAACTAAAATGCTCGATCATTAAAAGCTAAAGTCGATCTTCAAACATAAATATGTAAGAACTAAAAAAAAAAGTCACGAATTAAAAGCAAGCCTAAAAAAATGAGTTTTCAATAAACGTTTAAAGCTATTAAAATTGTCTTCATTGCGAATGTCCGCTGGTAGCTTGTTCTAGAGTGTGGGGGCAGCCGCTGAAAAAGCACGATCCCCTAAGGTCTTTTTGAGCGTAGAACTGGGAGACATTAATAATAGTGCATTATTTGATCGAAGACTATAACACGACCATTCTCTAATATTAATTAAGTCACAAATGTACATAGGCGCAAGACCATAAATCGCTTTAAAAGATTATCTAGCATCATAGGTCCAAAATGTGTGCAAAGACACTAAATTATCTAGCGTCATATATGTGGGTCCGCAATGCATGCAAAGATGCTTGATAATTGAAGCATTCAACACTCAACATGAAATGATTGAATTCTAAGTAGAAGAAACACATGTTTTCCACCACAAGGAAGCCAATCATAAACCCAGTTTCAATGATTGTATGTACATGTAAATATAACATAAAATTCCTTCAACTTACAGGCATCTTTTAATGTCATGATCACTGAGGTACCCTCCTGGAACATGCAAAAAAACATATTTGAAAATAATTACAATGCATAAATTATTGAACGAGAACAGTTTGACAACTTGCTCAAGGACTTTGAATAGGCCCAATGCTATCTCCTCTACAGAGGCTCCCTTGGGAGAAGGGAGAAAAGCCTTTGCATGTTTATTTCCCTCTATCTTCCCTATCCCCGCTATCCATGATATCCCAAGAAGCCTCTGCAGAGGAGAGAGGGCCTGATGTATGATTACATCAGTTGCTCAAAATTCACCCCACACCTCATTTACACAAAAATCTCCTCAACCTGTTACCCATGCATACTGTCTACACATGGGTATTCTTTTCATATTGATGTTTTGGGAATTCGTTCATGATAAAATTTACAAGTTTGGACTTTGAAAGCAAGGCTTGGGGGGTGAGGGGGGTGGGGGGGGGGGGGGGGGAGGGGTGAAATTAGCTAGTCTGACATAAATTTTGAAGTGTACCACCATTCCCAACAACCTTTTGGCCATGTGACTAGGGCAAACTATAGATTACGAATCCTCCCTAAGTAAAGCCTAACTACTTGTGGTCTACACTGCCAGCTGGCACTTAAACTTTGCTTTCTGAGGCATGAAGGAGTATTGCTGCCCTCCCATGATGAGATACTAGTCATCTGGTAACATTAACATATCAGTACCTACATGAAGGCTAGGTACAAGATCATTAAACCATTAAGTAAGTAAGTAGCTTTATTTAACCACATATCACAAAGTAGTGTAAGTAATCGCTTTGTAAGTAGTGTTTTTTGTGATGTAATAAAGTGTACGTTTATCTAAAAAAACAAAAAACATTACAATGCCTCAAGCTTGGGAAGGAAATAAAGGTAAAGCTGTTCTGGTGAAACTGGCAACTCTGCCGAAGCTTATGCCGGTTTCCGCAGTATGAAGCCGACTATGAGTCAGTATTGCTACTCCCCATGGGAGTGTACCCACTAGCATTTTTGTCAGGTTGCCCTTAGGCTAACAGTTCGCCAGTACCCATTTATACTCCTGAGTGGAGAGAGGCACTGTGAGAGTAAAGTGTCTTGCCCAAGAACACAACACAATGACCCAGGCCAGCGCTTGAACCAGGACCACTCAATCACGAGTCTAATGCACCAACCATTAGGCCACTGCATGTCCCACTTGGGAAGGAAATGGTTAACCCTTTCACTCCCAGAGTCACACCTTGAGTCTGTAGATGAAACCCTGTGATGTGACCATTCAAATGAAAGCTATTGCGCAGTACTTTCATGTGGTACTGTTTAGTATGCTGTACAAGGTGGTTCTAACTTTTAAGTCTGTGGATGAAACCCTAGTGTGTGACCATTCAAATGAAAGCTATTGCGCAGTACTTTCATGTGGTACTGTTTAGTATGCTGTACAAGGTGGTTCTAACTTTTAAGTCTGTGGATGAAACCCTAGTGTGCGACCATTCAAATGAAAGCTATTGAGCAGTACGTTCAAGTGGTGGTGTTTGTTTTTGACAATTTTGCAAAATAAAATTCAAGATTTTTTACTCATTTTTGAACTTTGCACTCTTGGGAGTGAAAGGGTTAATGAAAAACTAATGCACGTGTATCAAGTATACTGTGTGCACTGCCCTGTACTGTTTGAACACACCGTAAAATGCTCCTCTGAATGTTCAACTTTTATGCCTCTGAGATCCTGGCTTGAGTAGAACTACAAAGAGAGAGAGAGAGAGAGAGAGAAATTCAGTTATTAAACACCAAGATACACAATGTAAAAGAAACCATCACCAATACCAGATTTGTCTGCAGTGAATGATAAAGTAATCAAAGTGGCCATGAGCCACTGAACTCGGAAAATATTTGAAACACAAGTTGCCTTAATGACGTGATATCATTCTTATCTCTGTATGTGAAACACGCAGAACTCAAATTACGTTTTCAATTGATCAAAATCGTTCGAATTAACATCTAAACAGATCTACAAATGAGAAACATTGCCACTAAAAGACTACTAAAACAAATCACTTGATGGGTAAATCGTGTCACGTCCACGACAACAACCTCGGCAACGAGCTTGAGCCTGCTGTGATGGTCAAATAACTCAGCGGCTCAATACAAACCCAGTTGATAAATGACTTTTTTCCTAAAGATTTTCTGTTGTGTCAACGTGGCGCAGTGGATATGAGCACCGCTTTGAAGTCTAGAGGTCGTGGGTTCGACGCCTAGAAGGTTCCTTTTTTTCCCTTTTTTTTCCTTTACTTTTTTAACGCATGTATTTATATTTTTTTGGTGGTTGAGTATTTCGATTTCGAACTCAAACAAGGCATTTGTTTATTGAAGGATGAAATAAATAATGAAATGTAAGACGGCTTCTCGCCCTCGATTTATACTGCTGAAACTTAGATTTCTCGAACCCTCGATTTCTCGAAAACCCCGATAAACTCGAGCCAAAAGTCGTTTCCTTTGGATTTGTTTCACTGTAATTTTACCCCCGATATTTTGAACTTCCTGATTTCTCAAAACAATTTTCGTTTCGCGTGGAGAGTTCCACTGAATGTCCCACTGTATATTATACGCAATATATGCGCAAGCGTTATGCACTAGTCAGCGGATTTACAAAATGTTTAACAGGAAGCGAAGGAGCGAAGGAGTGAAATTAGCCTCCCACAGCTACAACTCGGAAATGGCTTTGAGCCATTTTCCGAGTTAAAAACCAGTGTATAAGAACCCCTATTTTTTTTAAAGGCAGGCTGAAAAGGGTCCGTATAATTATATTGGATGTCTAGTGAAAAATCAGGCTGTTAAGGTTCTTAAATAGGTTCTTATTTTTGAGAGAGTAAATACTGCTTGCTACTGGCCATAAATTAGTAATAATAAGGGTGTAGTGTATATGTATTTAATCAGTAGATAGGCAATCACATTTATCCTATACATTGTGATTATGTACCTCCAAAACACATTTTTGGTCTAAGCCTGCGTTTTCTGAGTTTTACTAAAACAAGGTAAAAGGAAACTCGGAAATGGCCTACAGTCAACTCTCTCTAAGCAGACACCACTGTAAGGCGGACACCTCTCTAAGGCGGACATGGATGGCTGGTCCCGACTGAATCAAGTTTCTCTTATTTTTTCTGTAACAAGACTCTCTATAAGGCGGACACCTCTTTAAGATGGACAGCTAGAGCTGGTCCCGAGGGTGTTCGCCTTAGAGAGAGTTGACTGTATTTGATAATTTTAAATTACTGTACTTATTTTTTCATTATTTCTTACAGGTTGCCTTGGTCTTGAAAGAGATCCCAATTCTTCTTCCACTATATCACTTATCCCAAACTCTTCATCCATTTCTGCCAATAATTGTGCCTGTCAAAAAACAACAACAAAGTATTTGGATCAACAACTAAACTTAAGATGTACAATGAATAGGTACCTTATAAAGTAAATGTTATGTGCACCTAAAATCTTTCAACTGTGAACCGGCTTTGAACAAAAATAAGACCAATGCTGTAATTATTACACACTCATGTTCACACTAAATAAATGAATAAATAAATATTAAATAAATAAACAAATAAGTAAATAAATAAATAAAATAATAGAAATAAAATAAATAGACTTTGTTCAATGATGGTAACACTCCACAGTCTTACGACTGACATACTGTGGCCCTCGGATTTTCCAGATCAAATTGGAATTTAGAAATGTTGGTTTTTGTGGAGGGAGGAAAACCGGCATACCCAGAAAAAAAAAACATGCGCAGCAAGGATGAGAACCAACAAAAAACTCAACCCACATAATTGTATGACCCCCGACCAGAAACGAACCTGGGCCACATTGGTGTGAGGGAACCATCCCTGCTTGTCAGTCTACTATGTAATCTTAAGGATAGTTTGGCCAGACAGTGTAAGTAATCTAGAGCTATGGAGAAAACAAGCCAGGAGCCAATGGAGAAGCGAATTAGGAGAAGGAAATGAGCCTGGATTGGGCACACACTGTGGAAGGCTGGAAACAACATCAGTATAAACTTACTCGCTTCTCAGCCAAAATCTTTTCTTTCTCCATTTTTCTGCTCCTGTTAACCCACGACATGGCATTAT